GGGAGGAGAGAAAGAGAAAAATTGTAGTTTGAAAGATAAAAACGTAAGAAATCTTCAACAGTACACTAAATAAAAAAAAAAAAAACCTCGTTCCCAGGGTCTCTCATCTTCCCGTCCCCTAGAGCTAATGATATCACAGTATTTGCCAACAACGTTGCTCGGTGGGGCTGGAAGATGAGGGACCCTGGGAACGAGGTTGTAAAAAAATTACTCAATGTACAAATGAGGTATGAACCTTTCTTTGACCACGTTGTAGCCCGACATTTCTACAGCTAATGTTAGTGGCTCCATCAAAGCAATCTAAAGAAGGAAATTCACAACATTCACTTTTTGTCCTGAACAAACAACGCCATAAAGTTAGAAAACCTATGTCGTAACGTCGTAGTCATTCCATAATGCAAAATGAAGTTGAAACTTTTCGAGTTTGTTTGTAATCTGTGGTAATCTCCTGCATCCTCATTCATTCTTGTTCCTTCTTGGTTTTCTATTGACTCTCAGATGTTTTTCTATCTTGTCCAACTAGTATTTGGTTTTTTTCTTGTATTTTCCTTTGAAATTTTGCGCAGGGAATTGGCCGGTCAAGTTTCAATCAATCTTCTCTATCCTTAACCATCCTTTTGCCTTCTCAATTTCTTTTTACCTCTTTTGTCTTATTCTAACCTACCAAATGAATAGTTTGTGAAACCCAACGAGTTGAAAGTAGCCTTTTCATAGCGCAAAAACTGCCTCACCCGAAAAATTTCCTGGTTCAATTAACAAGCTGGACGACAACACGACGATCAGAGAGCTTTTCTCTTTACTTACCAGCACCACAAGTCCCACAGAGGTCTGGGTCACACTCTCTGACCGCTAAGAAGCATGGGCACTGCTTGGTGTTGCACTGAGCTTTGCAGCGGCAGCCAGGGAAACGATTTTGACCTGGAAAGGGGAGGGACAGTTGATATCATTGAACTCATGTCTCAGTAACAGCTCAACACATAAACATAGCAAAAATTATAGAACAAGTGCTTGTCTTTAACGAGGAAATAAAGCACTGAAGTAAACCTAAACAATATCTTTTTAATCTGATTTTAAGTGAGAGTTTAGTAATCTGGAATTGCTTCGGTTTTGCTTAGTAAACTAACGATACGTTCTCAGCTTATCAAATGCAAAAATCAGTGGCGTTTTCCCGCGCTCTTTTGGGGTCACGTGTATAAGATTAACATTCTTATTGGTCGTTCACTTCGCTTACAGTTGTTCTGATTAGCAACCAAACTTATCACGCTCGGCTCAAAGTGAAAAGAAGCTTAAGGTTTGAAGCGAAGGAAAGCGCGAGTAACCATGCCACGGTTGGTTTCACTATAGCACCTGATTAGTCAAGTTAGTACCCAACCTGTCCAAAGCGCGGGAAAACGCGGGCGACCAACTCGGGATTGATGTTAGTTCTACATCTGATTGGTTGAGAGGATGACGCGAGTTTTCAGGACCAATCACTGAGCTAAGTTTAACCAAACCAACGAAATGCCAGGTTACTTTTCAAATTCAGTTGCAAGTTACTCCTTGGAATGAAAACGACTTACAATCGGTGCTGCACTGACAGAACTTTTCACAAAAGTTCTGAGTTGCAACACAGATGCACGACTGATCACATGGCTGCCCAGGATGGTCACAAGGAATGTAGTTGTACACATGAGTAGAGGTACTGTCTGAAAAAGATACAAACACATGAACAAAGAGCTAGTACGGATGCTTTCAATTATACGGTGGCAAAGATAGACAGTCTACTTTAAGAAGCTCCTTAACTAAAGCAACTCCATATTGCGGGAACTTTAAAAAGTAGATTAGTGATTTTCTAGGATTTTTCAAGAAGATAAATTTTCGGTTTTTCTTAAAGTTGCAAAATGTTCCCTTCCTTCCCTTTCTTTAGCTGAATCTTTCTACAATGAAGAGACCACATCCTGCAGAAGAAACAAATGAAACACACTTTCTCATTATAAAGTACTGTACATCATGTTTGGTATGAGAGACATGTAAGGGCAATCTCAATGGCAGCTGGACGTTATCCTCTTCGTAAATAAAAAAATTTAAGCCTCAACTCCATGAGTGACCAAATAAATTTCTCCTCACCTTATCAATACAAAATCAAGCAGACAAGTGATCAAAGAACAATATAAATTAGGGGATTATCAGTTGAACCAATGCCAAATTCTCCAAACCTACATCATAAAAATTACCGTATTTCCTCCAATATGCGCCCACACTCTGGTAAGCGCCCTCCCCCGAATAAGCTCCTACCCACTGCGCCAAAGTGTCAAACAAGCACCCCTCCCTCTCGAATAAACGTCTTCCTTTCTTAAATGGTAGGGCTCTTATTTAGTTTGTATAGAAGCAGACCTGTGTTTTCTTTTCTTCTTTCTTGGTGGAGTATCCTGATCATCTGCAGTTGGTAACGGCTCATGCGACTCTTGTAATGCTCTCAGGTATACCTGTAAAATGAGAGGCAATTTTCAATACGCTAAAATCACTGACACCCAAACCATTAATCTTCTTCGCATCTAAAACTTTCCGCCAGATTCGACTACCATAAACGAGCTTTGGTGAAAACAGGCTAGTTCAGAGTTAAGTTACATGTGAGAAGGTAGCGCGAAGTTTTAATCAACTTGGTGCCTTCATAATCGAGTTTGCAATGCTTCTAGACACGGCGTCGTCGAGCAACATCGAGTGGCACAACGTTTTTTCGTGCTACCCGACGCTGAGCCATAGAGGGTACGATGATGCACCGAAGTTTGAATCAAATTCGCACCAGTATCGCCTCCGCGACTGAGTTCCAGTACTACCGGACAATGGCTCGAGATGTCGACTGAAAAATCGAGTAAGGACGATAAACAGCACGAACTTTTGTTGTGCCACCCGTTGCTAACCGGAAGAGCTGCGATGATAGGGCGACATTTGACTAACAGGTCTTTCGGGAAAGACCTATTGTAAATTCTACGCTCCTTACCTCTTTACAAGTTTTTGTTCGAATTAAATTTGCAATACTGCAATAGTTGTTACAGTAGATTGGCCTCAAAACACGGAATAACGAAGCCTCGGCTCCCGTCCATTCAGTAGTTGCAAGCAAATGATCTGCGTTGCTTCCCTCAGTCTTTGAAGAATAAAATAATATAAATTCAGTGAAAAGGAATTAAAACAAAAAATATCTATTTTAGGCAGGGGATCTCACGCGTGATGGCTGGAAAAATCTGTTTCAATCCTCTTCATCCTTTGTCACTCTCTCTCCTTCTTAGTCTATCAGAATCCTTTTTTTCTTTTTCCATCTCTCTACGTTCATGTTTTATGATAATTTACAATCCATCGTAATCTTTTCCATCCTTAGCTTCCCTTGATCCACTTCAGGTTATTTGTGTCTCTTCTGCGTTTTTCAATCTCACCAAACATATGTATTTAGTAGTAATTTACAACACACTTGAATATTTTCCATCTTTGATCCATATTAGTTTATCATTGTCTCTTTTCTTTTTTCCACTTTCCCAAACTAATATTTTGCAGCCTCCTTCAAGTTGAAAGTTATTTTGCATGGTACATGGCGTTATTGAGTAGAAACTCATTTAAACGGGGTGACACATTTCATTTGAGCGCTCTTCGACCGACTGTCGTAAAACCAAAACCAAAACAATAGCAATGGCCAATCAGGAGGGAAGATATCTTTAAGAGCCAATGAGAACTTAAAGTAAAACCGAACAAACTGTTTAAGCGCGGGAAAACGCGGGCGACCAAGTCTTGATAGGTTTTAGCTTGCATTTGATTGGTTGAGGAATGGCGCGAGTTTTCTGGACCAATCACAGAGTAAAGTAAGGCAAAAATAAATCAACCCCGGATTACTTTCGACACTCAACTGAAAACTGCTCTATTTTTCACATCCTTAATAGAGACTAAGAATTTTTGGTTTAAAAAGTCGCTGAACTCATAAAAATGTTAGCCATGCCTTAAACCAACCAGTATAGGCCCCTTTGCTTAAATTTTTTTAAGAACGATCAGAGGGTCTTGAAAAATCATTTACCGCTGTTTTCTCTGGACTTGGAAATCCTGAACCTTTAGGGTTTCCCTTTCCACCTTTGTTGTCTTTGCTGCTAACTCGACTTCTTCGGCTCGTGCTGACTGACTCAGATGACTTGCTGTCTTCTTCTCCTTCGTGAACACTCTGTTGCAATGAGTGAAGTGGCTATTAAAATTATTTTGAGCGCTTTTCAACTTGTTGTCGTAAAACCAAATCAAAGTAATCAAAACGGCCAATCAGAAGAAAGGAAAATGCCTTGAAGAACCAGTGAGAAAACAGAGTAAAAACAACCAAACTGCCTAAAGCGCGGGAAAACGCACGTGACCAAGTCGTGATTGATGCTAGTCTTATATCTGATTGGTTGAGCGAGCGGCGCGATTTTAATGACCAATCTCAGAGCAAAGTAAATCAAAACAAGTGCGAACACGGATTACCTTTGACATCTGATATTGTGAACATACCTTAACATGCATATAGCACTCAGTTCCACACGGGTTTGTTTCTTGTAAATCAACAGGGCTCTGTGAACAAGAAAAAGACTTTAAAATTCTGAAACGATGTTTTTCAAATGACCAAATTTCTGGAAAATACAGCTGTATGAGCATTGTTAAGCCCTGTCCAAACCAGACTAAAAAAAATAAACTAGAAAAAGAAAAGCCATCTTCAAATTTATTTGGTGCAATGTATAGACACGGCAACATTGTAACGTTAAAAATATCTGTACCTTTCGCTTGATCTGTGTAGGAAGTGTTCTCCATCCTGGATAAAACAAAAAATGCAGCAATTTAATCCAAGTTATTTCATTTAAATTACGTTGCACACTGTATGACAAAAAATAGACAGCCAATCAGATAGTGTGATAATTCCCAAGAGGACAGTCCTAAAAAGCGACAATTTTTATTTTAATGACAGAGACTCCTGTGTGAAGGTGTAGTCTGATCGTCCGGGTGAGTGTAGTCCTGAGAAGGACTGTTGTCGGTGGTAGTGACTGACGTTTCGACAACCTGTGCGAAAGTCATCATCAGATGACATCACTTGACTCTGATGATGACTTCCGCACAGGTTGTCGAAACGTCAGTCACTACCACCGACAACAGTCCTTCTCAGGACTACACTCACCCGGACGATCAGACTACACCTTCACATGTTACCCCCGGGTTCAAACCATTTACTGCAGAGACTCCTGTGTCAACAATGTGAGAGAAAGTGATCATTAGTCACTTGACTCTGACCCCACTCCACATGCAGAAAATCAGAAAAACTCCAGTAGGTGTTCTTTAAACAGTATTTCACACCTCACAAATCTAAAAGGGAAAACCGAAAATCTCACCATACCTTTGCCTTTCTGTAAAATTCACATGTCACATTAATTTTGGGCTTAATCACACATCAGGTATAAACCTTAATTGCCACCCCATCTGATGATGACTTCCATCCAGATCAATGAATGCCAATCACTATCTCTTAGAACAATGAATTTCAAGGATCCCCACCCCATTTTACTGGACTATCCCACAACATGATCAATTCCCATTCCTAGGTCCAAGCCATTTATCGAAAACAACTTTATAAACATTAATTATCCACATGCTTTCCATAAAAATATCATTCATTAGGGCAATAAAGATCACCCCTCCTCACCATGCATAAAGCAATCATACTTGTAACATCTTCTGCAGAACAGCATGTGAAAAGAGTGCAGACTTTGCTCTCTTGAAACAGATTGTGCCATAGGACTATAAGAAAAAATAACAAATCCTCTCATTTGAAGAAATACTGATAATGTCCTTGACTCAGCCAATATTAAAAGATTATAATGATAAAAAACAATTGAGGTAACAGTGGACATTACTACAAAGAATTCTGTATAAATTTCAAGGGCACGAAAAACTTCAGATCTGATCTGACATAATGTCATCTATCTCCTGACCTGTCAATGTTTGGAGTGCATTCTGGTGGTAATTCCCCATTCTTACGATCCAGCACATTCTTGTATCTTTAGAGAAATAACAGAAACAAGTCCAGTGACAAATAAAATCAGTCTACATACAAGTCAGAAAAGGAGTGTAACTGCTGTCAATTCAGTGTCAATACCGTATGAGAAATCCTACAAACAAGCAATGTGTCCTAGTCCATAACCTTGAAAATTGCAGCTACAATATCCATAATTATTCTGTAATGTTCTATTCATTTGATGTGAATCTAGTTAAATGATTTTTATCCGAAAAATAAAGGCGAAAATAACAAGCAATAAAAAACACATGTGTGCCAAGGTTTGACCTTGTGGCAAATGACAAAACCTTGGCAGAGACTGGGCCCAGTACACAGGAAACCTAACATTTACAGGGGGACCCACCCAAG